GCTGGTATGTCTTCAGATGACGATTCTGCCCCTTTCCCTCTCTCTCCTCCTTCTGGGTTTCCTATAATGTGAATGTTTGCTCGCTTTACATTGTCCAAGAGATCCCTTAACCTGTCGTCATTTACATTTTTTTTTTCTTTTTGTTCAGCTTTGCTGTTCTTTTTGCTGTTCCGTGGCCCCGTCTTCCAGATCGTTGGTCTGTTCTGCATTTTCTAATCTGTTGATTCTCTCTAATGTATTTTTCATTTCAGTTACTAACTTCTTCAATCCCGACTGGTGTTTCTTCTGTTTTCTGTCACTTCGTTGAAGTTCTCACTGAGCGCGTCCACTCTTCTCTCCATCCCGGCGAGCATTTTTGTGAACGTTACTTTGAATTCTTTGGGAGATTGTTTCTATCTGCATTTCATTCATTTCTTTTTTTCTGAGGTTTTGTCTTATTCTTTGGAGCATATTTTTCTGTCCATTTTGCTTTTCTTTCTGTGTTCGTTTCTATGCGTTAGGTGGAACAGCTACTTTTCCTCAATTTTGAAAAAATTTTTTTAGAGAGAGAGTGTGCGCACAAGCAGGGGAGGGGCAGAGAGAGGGAGAGAGAGAATCCCAAGCGGGCTCCGCGCTCTCAGTGCACGGCCGGACCCACGGGGCTCAAACTCACGCGTCATGAGAGCGTGACCTGAGCCGAAATCAGGAGTCTGACCCTTCACTGACTGAGCCACCCAGGTGCCCCTGCTTCTCCTAACCTTGGAGGAATGGTCTTGCGTACGGTGGCCCCCTGGGGTGGACTGTGCCCGGTGACCTTGGCTGGCTGGCGGGAGCTGTTGCTGTCGTAGGCTGGGGGTCCCGGAGCACTCCGTTCTGGGGCTAACCCGGTGATGCGGCTCGAGCTGAGGCGGGCATCGGCCGGGGCTCCCGGGGGGGGGGGTGGGTTCCGCAGACGGGACTCCAGGTGAGTCCTCTGTGGTCCAAGTGGCCCGGGACTGGAGCGTCGCAGTGCACCCTGCACCCGTGTCGCCTTGGTGAGCCGCTCGGAGCTGTAGTGAGTGCTGCGCGGGGCTGCTCGGCGTGCGCCTCGGGTGGCCTCTTGCTGGGACAGCTGGGGCCGGTGGGGGCCAGGAGGAGCCTGTGACTCCCTCAGGCGACGGGTCAGCGAGGGCACCCAGCCCCTGCTCCCGTCGGCACTGACGCGGGGGACGCGGACCGTCAGTCGCGGCCCTCGACAGCCTCTCTGCCCCGGCCGCCACTGCGTGGGGTTCCAGGCCTGCTTCCTTTATATTTTCATTGCCCTTTTCAACTGTGGCTTCTTTTTTTTTCTGTGCTTCACAGCAGACGAATCTGCTCATGGTCCCTCGGTAGCGTCCCCACTGCAGCTCCTGGTGTCGGGCTGGGGTTCCCTTCGCTACCGTGCCTCTCTCTCTCTCTCTCTCGCTGTTCTCTGTCTTTCGTGAAACTGCTCAGTCGGCCCTTGGTTCGGCTCCAGGAGGAATTGCTCTATAAATAGCTGTAGATGTGATGCGTCAGCGCCAGAGGTGCGTTCAGGTTCTTCCTGCGTCGCTGTGTTGGACTGGAGATCTTAAAGAGCTATTTTTAACCTCCTGAAACGTTCTAGGGAGAGGAATATTCAAGCAGTTCTTAAAATGTGTCATAGACGATAAAACAAATAGAAGAGTGAACTTTGCGCGCAGGTTATATCGCTGGCTTACCGCACGATTTCTAAATGGAAAGCTGCTGTTAATTATGGAGTTTTCTTTTTTAAAAGATTTTTTTAATGTTTATTTTTGAGAGAGAGAGAGAGTGTGAGCAGGGGAGGGACAGAGAGAGAGAGGGAGACACAGAATCCGAAGTGGGCTCCAGGCTCCAAGCTGTCAGCACAGAGCCCGACACGGGGCTCAAACTCAGAAACTGTGAGATCGTGACCTGAGCCGAAGTCAGACACTCAACCTTCCGAGCCATCCAGGTGCCCCTATGGAGTTTTCTTAAAGACCCAGAAAAGCCAATGACCTATTAAATGAGCTCACAGAGTCAACATCAAGGCACAACATTTGGGAAAATGATCTTTGTTGACATTTCAACGTTTTTCAATAGAGAAGACTAGTAATTAGGGCAAAGTATAGTCTTTGGAATAAGATCCAAATAATGGTAATGACTAGAACTTTCTTATAATTTCAGGTGAAAGCCAGTTTTAATTCCACCTCTTTCAGAAGAGGAATGACCGTGACCGTAGTCTGGTTGGTCATAAGCAGATGACAGAAGATTGCCTGCTACTCCCCTTTTGAACAGGATAGAATATGCTTTCTGATTTGGATCATTTTTTCTTTAAGTTTATTTATTTATTCTGAGAAAGAGCACGAGCGGGGGAAGAGCAGAGACAGACAGAATCCCAAGCAGGCTCCACGTGAACAGCATGGAACCCGATGCGGGGCTCGAGCCCACAAACCACAAGATCACGGCCCAAGCTGATCGAGGGTCAGACACTTAACTGACTGAGCCACCCAGTCACCCCCGTGTTTCTGATTTGGAATAAAATGAAGGGACTCATTAATCAGAGCCCAACAAGCAGGCAAGGGACAGCATGGCTTTCTACTCTAACCCACAGCCTAGAAAATGGAAGGTGGCCTCAGGGACCCCTTTGCCCATTTCCTCCTGTCAAAGGTTCAACCTTAGTCTTCTACAAGGGAGGGGACAATATGCAGGGTCTTTGGTCCATCTTCCCTCTGGCTCAGACACTCAGGACCCCACGTGGTTGGCCCGGCCATCACCACCCCCAAGCCCCACTGCATCTGAGGTCCTGTGAGCGTGTCCTGCGTCTGGACTGTTGAGTGAATGGGGGGTTGCGGTGACCGGGGACTTGCTTCCTGTTACTGGTCCAGAGCTCTGCCTGCCTCGCGTCGTTCGTGCTTTCACTCACTGATCAGGACAGCAGGTGTGCCCAAGTCAGCCTGAATTTGGTTGCAGTTGTGTTTTGGCATGGGGTGGGGACAGCCTTTTACTGTCCTCTTTCACATATGCGGCGGTAAGAACCAGTTCACGAGAGACGGGTGACGAAAGTGACACTGAAAAGCTTGCACAGGTTAGTCTGCAGGAAATTTCTGTGGGAGGAACTAAAAGCAAAATGAGATTTAGTGGCAAGAAATGAGAAAAGCCGATTTTCTTTACTGTTCCCTCATCTCTGCCACCTGCGACCCCTCCAACAGACGTTTCTCTGAGAGCTTTTAATTTCAAAAGGTACTTCTGCTGTGCTCCCAGTTCTTACCGGTGACCGCCATTGGTTCATTCACAACCGCGACAATACTTCCGCTTGTATAAGGCTTTCCTCTCCACAAATTACTTTAAATACATTATCTGGTTCGATCCCTGGGAGGCGGGTGGGGCAGACGCCCCAACCCCACACTGAACGAAATTCTCTTTGTAGCGGGTGAACTCACGGTGGCGTCTGACCAGTGCTCACGTGGGAGTCCTCACAAACGAGAATGTTCCGTCGTTCCGTGCTGGGCCGTGCCAGCAGGGAGCGGAGTCTCGGATGTGGGCCCTGAAGACCTAACACACATCATGGATTTGTGTTTCTCTCATCCTGGGGAATGGGGAGCTCAGTGGATGTTGGAGCCTGACTTCCTCTCTCCCAGATTCATGCTGGGATTCTGGTTACACCTTTTGATTTGTCTGCGTCTCCTTTTCCCACCTTGCAAGGCCGACCTGCCCTGCTGCCATAGTAAGGTTTAATGCAGCTTCTCTGCCTGTTGGGTGCTTGGGATTGCTTTCTGGCACGCTCCTAAGAAAATAAGTAACTTTGTTTCTTCTGGAAGAGTGGAGGAAGGATAAAGAACCGAGTTAAGTAAGCCCATTTCTACCCAGAGTCTGATCTCACCAGCAGGTGGCGCTGTGACAAAAGCAATCAAGAGAAACCAGGTCAGATCAGGTGGGTGTCCGGGCTCCAGAGACAGGCCCCGGCGACGCCCCCTCTTCTGTAGCGAATAAGGCGCTCATTGAAATCCCAGAGCTTTCCAAGTGTGCTCGGATCCCCCTGGGGCGGGGCAAAGCCTGAGGAAGGCAAGGCGTTGGTAGAAGGGTCTGGATTGGTAGATCCTGAGCTGGTTTTGCTTCCCGTCTAGAACGGAGAGCTCTGCCTGGGCTTGGGCAGTCTAGTCCCTTGATGCCTGGGTCCCTTATTGGGCTAAGATGGGCGCATCCTTCCACGGCCTTGGTGGTTTTCAAAGAGCATGTGTACATGCAGCCAGACGCAGAATGAAGCATGGACATCCCCAAGACCAGGCTGGTCCACTGATCTGGACCCCAGTGAAAGAACAGACTGCCCATCACCGAGTCTACAGGTTGAGAAATAGTATTTGCCCTGTCCTGTCACGGAACCAGCCAGGTCCCACACAAGGGCAGACCTGAAAAGGAAGACAGGTGTGCCTGGGAAGCTGGTCCACGTGAGACAGAATGACCACCAGCACCTTCCACACACGGTGCACAAGACGCAGGGTGGGGGTGAAGGGAGGCGCTATAGTCTCTAAATGGGGCCAGTAAGTCAGCTGGCAATACTGGGTTTCTTAGTGGATCCCACGGTGCCAACGTTGTTTCTGCTAGCGATGGAGCGTGAGGCAACCACTTCCTGACTTTCCCCGTTCACACGAAGGTCTATTAACTTGTTCCTGTGGGTCAAGGGGCCCCTGGGAGAATTGGAAACGAACTCGGCTTTGGGGGAGGAGTTTTCCAGGGATCTCTGCGTAGCCTCTGTCCACCCCCCTCTCTCACTGTCCACCCTAGGTGATAATAACAGGAAGTAGAAAGGCTTGAAGACCAGCTCTTTATATCATTAACCATAGGGCTGACTCCGGTAGCTCATTCAATGTAGGTTAACCTGCTGGGTGTTTTCCCTTCAAAAACAAACAGCACCAGTCAGAAGTATCTGATAGCCCTGAAGTCACATCCATTCATTCCAAACCCAAGCTGGCCGTGATCTTCTAGACCCACCTGGCTCCTGGGACAAAAGCAGATGGGCCCAATACTTGTAAATTTCATATTTATTATAACAAAAATTATGACATGTTCATTTGTGCATTCTGCTTTAATAGAACTCTCGGTATGTAAATGATCTAGCTGAAGGCTCTACAGTCATGCTGATTGTGGCAGCAGTAAGGGACACACCAAGTGTCTGCGGAGGGCAAGGGGGCGGGGACGGGAGAGGAAGAAAAACGGCTCAGAGGCCCCTGTGTGCAGGTTAGTTTCCAGTGGCCTGAGATCCGCCTGGTTGGAACAGAAGCCCCTTAGCTGCTCTCGGCCTCCACACCGAATGAGCCGGAGGCAGGTTAGGAGGGGGGCGAGGAAGGGAAAAGTCAGTCGTTCAGGCTTGTCCTTTCGCCAAAACTACAAAACGTCCGAAGCGTCACTATACAGCACTGAGCTATTTACAATAGAAATTTCTCAATCAACTGTTCTCTCAGAGAAAATTAGTGAATCCCAGTGACTTAAGTCACCTGACAGAGTAAAGCAACTCCTAGGAGTTAGTCTCCATATTCTACAAATGTCTATCATTTTCAAGACAAAAAAAAAAAAAAAGCCTTTTCCCCCAAAGAAATACAGAATTACAATATTATTAAGTCATTTAGCACTGGCAACGCACCCTGCCCTCCAAACAAAACAAGAAAAAGCCATTTTAAAAAATATTACATTATCTTTAACCGTTTCTCTGTAATATATTAAACCTTTTCTTTGTCTTTACACATCTGATACGTTAGGGGAAGAAGTTAAACGTAAAGCATCGCTAGAAGAAAAGTGGTGATTATTTAAAAAAAAAAATGACCAACAGAGGGAGAGCCCAGGACTAGGTGCCGAGACAGGGTGGGAAAGCGGGGGAGGGCGTGGAGTGAACCCCTGGTTTAACGTGAGCCTGGGAGACTCTTGCAACTCAGTCTTTCTGGGTTAGTTTATTTGTTCAAGAGCGCCTGGGGGGGCCGGGGGGTGGGGTCATAGCGGCGTGTCACAGCAGTCTGGCAGCTGGTCCCCCGGGCCCGGCGGCTGCAGGGGCGGCGGTGGCGGCTGCTGCTGCTGCTTCATCATCTCCTTGACCTCCTCCTCCAGCTCCGGGGGGATGATGAACTGATCCTCGGGGTCCGGCTGGGCCGGCGCCGCGAAGTAGCCCCCGGGCTTGCGGAGAGGCGCGTCCGCGGCCACCTCGATCACGTTGTGGCTCCTCTCCTGGGGCGCCACGGAGCCGTTGGCCCGGCGGCGCCCCGCGGTCCCCGCGGCGGCGGAGTCCGCCCTCCTGGGCGGCCCCGGCTCCTCCTCGTTGGCGCTGATGACGATGCCCTCGTCGCTGGCCTCGGCCGGCCCCTGCGGCGGGCGCCGCCTCTCCTTCTCCCGCGCCCGGCCGCAGTGGATGTCCACCTCCACCTCCACGCGGCTGCCGTTGGTGAACACGCCCTCGATGGGCTCCTCGTCGTCGCTGTCCAGGCCGTTGTCGGAGAAGGCGCTGGAGAAGGTGGCGCTGGACAGCTGGCGCTGGAACGCGTGGGCCAGGCCCACCGGGTGCAGCGCGCAGCGCGGCTCGCTGGCGTAGGCGGGGCTGCTCTCGGCCGGGGCGCCGGGCGGCGGCTCGTCCGAGGCCGTGGAGCCCACCTCGCTGCTCATCTCGGAGGTGGACAGCTCGCTGCTCATCTCGGAGGCCATGCCGCTGCTGGACGACGGCACGCCCAGCGCGTCGGCCGGCCGGTCCCTGGTCGCCATGCTCGCGGCCGGCGGGAAGATGCCGGGGCTGGGCGGGGGCCCGGCCCCGCCGGCGCCCAGCTCGCAGCAGCAGAAGCCGTCCTCGGCGACGCTCAGCTGCACCACCACGGCGCTGAGGCTGTCGCGGCAGCCGTAGCTCTGCGCCAGGGTGCACAGCTTCTTGGCGGCCGCCAGGGCGTCGGGCACGTTGCGCACGGCCGCCACCGCCTCCTCGGCGGACAGGCTGTCCCACAGGCCCTTACTGCCCAGGATGAAGAACTCGTCCTGGGGGGTCAGGGGCACGGACTGCACGTGTGGGCGCGGCACCACGCTGGGGTGCAGGAAGGTGTACCCCAGGATGCGCGTGGACTCCGTCACTCCGTTCACCTTGCCGTCCTGGAAGTGGGGGGGGGGGGGTTGCGAATCGACGTTAAGGAGACGGGGAGTATCCGCCGGCCCTACTCAAGGCCTCTCTGGGATGCGTCTCTTCTCCGGAACGGCAAGCTTTCCCCACTCTCTACCGGGTTCTGGGGGTTTCATCAATAACGGGGGAACGGACACGTCCTGTGGGCAGGCTGGCTTCTGCAGCCCCGCACCGTTTTCCACACATGCAGTGTGCGCTCACCATCCTGGGGTGAGGGGGTGGGGGGGAGCAGGACTCCCAGGGCCCAGATCCAGTGCCTCCCAGGGTGGAGACTCACGCCAGGGTGTGTCCCAAGAGAGGCACTGTTACCACCGAGGCCGAATCATTCTGCGTTATGGGGCTGTCCCGGACACTGGAGGCTGCGGGGCCCCCTGCGGTACCTACTGCCTGCCAAAGGCATGAAAAGAACTCTCTTGGGACGCGACTAAATGTCCGGGGTGGGGGAGGTGCAGAGCAGCCCCTGGTTAGAAACCACTCAGAGGGAACAGGAGGTGTGAACCGAAATCACAATTAGCTACTTTTACGTTGACATTCACATTGGCCTTGGAAGACGCACAGGTGCATCACTATTCCTCCTTTACCGATGAGAGGCTCAGAAGGCCTAGCCCGCGAGCAGCAGAGCCGGGGACTGACTTCAGGGGCAGCGCCCTCACGCTCCCCTGCACAGGGGCACTTGCAGGAATCGGCGGAGGGAGGCAAGGGCCCCAAGCACTGGGCACAGCCTCTGACGCAGGCCATGGAGAACTGCTCTGCCACCCTGTACCTTAGGCCTTCAGACCTACCCCACAAAGGAGTTGCTCTGTGACACCGTGGATTCGGAACGTTGCTGGTTTCAGCCCTGACCCCCTCACCCCTCCATCCCGGGGAAAACCGTGCCCTCCTCACCTCAGTGATAATGGCCTTGTGCCGCTTAATTCTCTTCAGTTCTTCTTCGCAGCTCATGACATATGATCTGGACAGAGGCAACGGCTTCCCATTCCGACAGAGAACCGTTTGGCACTTCCCCACATTAGCGGAGGTCAAGGTGAAGGACCCTCCTGGGTCCGTAGGGTCGTGCTTGACGTGACAGAGGACAGCAGCACCTCCAAGCTTCTGCCCAGCAGTTCCAAGCTTCCTGGAACGCAGAGAGAGGGAGTCAAACCCACGTACGACGTATCGCACAGCAGTTCTGCGCCCCGGGCGGGGCCGGGAGGAAACCTAGAACCTGGGGGTTCCACTTAGCCTCTGCCACCAAAGCGAGCACTGCTCCGCTTCTCCCAGGAAAAGGGCCGTGGATTCGGACAACCCCTACCCCGAGGTGTCTGCTCACACCTGGGGGCGTGGGGAGGGGGTATCACTTTGCCACCAGAGGAACCCTTGTCCTGCCTGCTGCGTCCAGCCTGCTGCTCCCTTGCTTACCACACCCCGAGGGACAGCAGGAAAAGGGCCTCTTTGCTCTCCGTCCACCTCTTTACATCCTCTCTGCTCGCAGCAGAGGAAACTGAAGAAACCACTAGACAGGTGTAGCCATACGCCGATGCGTGTGCCCCAGAAGTACTTGGACTTTACAAGGACGTCTCCGGGACAAGCCTTTAATTACTGGGCCGTTCACGTTCTTGTCTTACGTGGGCCAGTATTCTCTATTCCAGAATATTCATAGGAAGGCCTTTCTAGTAATTAAGCTCCAAAGTGCTCGTGATAAACCCTTTTATTCACGACCCCCCCCCCCCCCGCACTCCACAGACTGAGTCCACAAAGCACCTACAAGCTCCAACGAAGAGAGCCAAGAAATCCTACCACAAGCCCCGCAGAGGGCAAGGCCTCCTGGGCTCCTAACTTCTTGCTTCTGCACCAGCAAGAAGGTCTGGACAGACTCCTCTGTTTACGAGGGCAGACCCACCTTCAGCCCACATGGAACGGCCGTACCAGCAATGGAAACCATACCAGGGCTGCCCACTCGAAGGCGTCAGGATGTCACGCGCAAAAACCCAGTTCCCCGAGGGCGGAAAAGAGGACTGTGTGTGCCGTGTCCTATTAACGGGGAAAGGAAGCGGCATACAAATGACCCCGGAGATGGGCTGACAGTTTAGGTCTTTGAACTCCGGCCTGTGGACCCCCGGGACCAGCTGGGCTGCTTTCTCCCTTTCACAGGCACAGTGATCCCTCTTGGCAAAGCCAGAAGCCCGATGGTAGTTGTGAAAGGCACAGCTAGGAACCAGAGTTTAAGGTCCTAAGTTCTGACTTCCTATTCAGCGCTTGCCTGGCTATAAAATTATAAGCAGACCTCTTCTGGGTGGGGGTGCGAAGGGCGTTCGTGCACATGTGCGTCTGTGTTTCTGATACACCCATGCTTTTTTTTTCCTGGGACACGATGGTAAAAACAGAGAAGGAGATAGATGTGCCTTGCGGTTGGAGCCTTCTGTGGAGTCCTACTGCCCCTCTAACAGCCCTTACGAGAAGCTGGCTTCACTTCTCTGTACCTCAGTTTCCCATCAGTCAAGTAAGAACAGTCACACTAAGTGTCTCACTGGGTAAAGTGCATGTGATGCGAGGACTGGTACATATTAAGGGCTCGCTAATTGTTAGCCACTACCAGTATTTAGCTGCTAATGCTACGTGCCCACTAGAATCTGCAAGTGAGCCCAGGAGCAAAGACCCCTCGCTGGAGCTGCCTCTACCAAGCTCTTCGGGAGGCGCTGTTTATGACTTAGGGTGACTTTAAAGGCTGCTCCACAGGGGCGCCTGGTGGCTCCGTCGGTTAAGCGTCCGACTTCGGCTCGGGTCATGATCTCGCGGTTCGTGAGTTCAAGCCCCGCGTCGGGCTCTGTGCTGACCGCTCAGAGCCTGGAGCCCGCTTCGGATTCTGTGCCTCTCTCTCTCTCTCCTTCAAAAATAAGTAAACATTAAAAAGAATTTTTTTAAAGGTTGCTCCAAACCAGCGAGAGAAAAAGGAGAGGAAGAGAAAAGCTCATCCTTGTTCTCCTGACCTTCACACACTGGTTCCCGGTCCCGCACGAGTGTTTGCAGGACAGAATTAATAGGCAGTTCCTTCACAACCTACAGAGCCATTAAAGTGACCTAAGAAGGCACAGTTCTTTGAAGGAGGGGACGCCTGTAACATTCATCCCTACGAGTTACGAAAAACATTCCAGTTTCTACGGTGACCAAAAGCTCTAAGCTACATTCCTGTCATTGACTCGGCCTCCTACAAAGTTGTCTGAACATCAGTATGTCTCAGACGGAACACGGTGTGTCCCCGATGCTTACGCAAAAGCAAATCACCTGAATGCATCTTGAATACCCACATGTGACAACAGTGCTTTGAGACTGTCGGGCAAACGCTCACGAGAAGGGCAAGAAAACACATGGCAGGAACTGTGTTTCACCTTTGCATAACAATGAACGTATTGACCATGTATTCTTCTTCATTTTTGGTTTTCTGCAGCTCTTCGGCCAAAATGTCACTCATCGTACACTGGAGAAGGTAGGGCACCTCCACGTTCCGGTCCCCGTCAAACACCCCGTACAGGGCCTCCCGGTTGTCACAGAAGTTGTTCACCGACAGGGCTGCGACACACAACCTGCAAAGCAAGAGTGATCGGTCCTAAGGCTAAGACGTCTTAAGTCATCTTTCCTTGCTCAGCCCCACGCTGTTAACAGCCTTGTCTCCTCCTCCAGGACCTCAGACAGGTGAAGAAGAAGTTAAGGTAAAGTCACCCCAGCTGATTCATATCAACTAATTTTCTGTAAAGCAAAGAAGAATGATAAACATTGATACTTCACACCTGGCCCCCCCATCTTCTGATTTTAGCTTTAAGTTTATTTTGAGAGAGAGAGAGAGACTGGGGGAGGGTCAGAGGGGGAGACAGAAAGAGAAGCCCCGCGCTGTTAGTGCAGAGCCCAACATGGGGTTCGATCTCATGGTTGGTGAGATCATGACCTGGGCTGGAATCAAGGGTCAGATGCTTAGTCGACTGAGCCACCCAGGTGCCCCTGATTTTATTTTTAAATGGCAGTGAAAGACCCGAGAAGAGGAAGTTTGGGGGATAATACAAGATTCTGAATCCATGGGTTCACATTCAGTCCTAAAACATTTATTAAAGAGAACTTTCACACTGGGCAAAATGGAGTAACAACTAAAACAATGGGACCTTTTCTTACGCTTTTAATCTTTTTCCAAACAACTTAAAAAGGCAGGGGAAAAAAAAAAAACTCTGAAACAACAGTATTGAGACACTGGATGATAAGAAGTGCAGGTCAGAGAGCGAGCTTGAAGCCTGCCCAGCTGATCGCCTGGAGGAAGATTCTGGAGGGGGGGAGGGGTGGTTAGGGCCTCGGGCGGAGCCTGCTCTGGAGGCCTGCAGAGCCTCGCACCCAAATCCCATTGTTTCCAGGTAACTTAACCGTGGCCCACAGACTCTTCAAAATGAAACCCAGAGGGAAAAAGACTGGCCGACAAATAAAAATTCAGGGCATTAGTGAGTGCGGGGTAACCTCAAGCACAGGGAACCGAAGTCTTCAACAGAGCAGAGACAGGAAAAACTTTTGAAGAAGTTAATGGTTGAAAAGATTTCAAATCTGATGAAAACTGTAAACCTGTAGATACAAGAAACTCAACAAACAGCAAACAAAAGAAAATGAAAGGAAAGTGTAACAATTGCTGAAAATCAGGAATAAAGGCGGGCAAGTAGGGTGGAGGAACAAAGACCTTGATGACAGCAGACTTACAGAAACAACGCAAAGAAAGACAGCAGAACAACATTTTTAAAGTACTGCTTGAAAAAAGCTGTCAACCTGGATTTCTAAACCAGTGAAAATTGCTTTCAAAAGTTAAGGTGCAAGAAAGACCTTTTCAGATGCACAATTTCCCACAAAAAAGACTGGCAGTAGAAGAAATACAAAAGGAATACATGAAGCAGAAGGAAATACCAGATGGAAATCTGAATCTACATAAAAGAATGAAGCGTACAAGAAATGACAAATAGATGAGTAAATATAAAACTTATTTAAAGATCGTTTTAGAAGAGTGGTTCTCAATGGGGGCAATTACCCCCGGGGAGACATCTTTGACGGTCGCAGCTGGGAGCGACGGTGCTGTTGGCACTTAGCGGGTAGAGGCCAGGGGCGCTGCCAAACACCCTGTAATGTGCACAGAAACACCTCCCTCCCCTGCCCACCAACTATCAAGAATTATCTGGCTCAAAACGTCAACAGTACTGAAGTTGAGAAACACTGCTTTAAAAATGACTATTTACAAATTATAACCATGTATTTTGGGGTTTATAACAGAAGTAAAACATGACAACAGCACAAAGACCAGGAGAAGGGAAATGGAAGCACACACTGAAAGGTTCTTGTATGTGAAGTTTATAGTTTACCTTCAAATAAGAAGTTAAAGGTTTTACTACAAACACTAAACAAAATGGAATCATAAATAGTCCAAAAGAATGAAGAGAGATAAAGAAGAACAGAAGAGACAAATAGAAAACAATGAACAAATGATAAAGATCATTTAAAATGATCTGTAAAACTGATACGATTTAACCGTATCAATTTCATTAAATATAAAAGTGGTCTAAACACTATGCCAAAAGAAAGTCAGACTGGATTAAAAAAAAGCAAGATCTAACTGAATTTTATAAAAAGACAAATAGGTTAAAAAGGTAAAAGACCTACTATGCTAACACCAATCAAAAAAAAGCTGGAGTAATTACATTAATATCAAAGTATAATTCAGAGCAAAGATTACAGAAATAGTCATTTCATAATGAAAAGGATCAGTGCATTCATCACAAAGCTATGACATTTCAAATGTTTATGCACTTAATACAACTTTGAAATGCATGAAGCAAAACTGATAAAACTAGGAGACACAGACAAGCCCATAATTACGGTCTCTCAGCCATTGACAGAACAAGTAGATAATCAGTATGGAGATTCAAGACCTCAACAACAGTATCAACCAACTTGACCTAACGGACACCCTACCCCAAACAACAGCAGAATACTCATTTTTTCAAATGCAGAGAATATTTACCAGTGTAGACCATATTCTAGCCACTAACATGTCCCAATAAATTTAAAGGATTCAAGTCATTCAAAGTGCATTCTCGGGGCACCTGGGTGGCTCAGTAGGTTAAGCATCTGACTTTGGCTCAGGTCATGATCTCACAGTCCGTGAGTTCAAGCCCTGCGTTGGGCTCTGTTCTGATAGCTTGGAGCCTGGAGCCTGCCTCAGATTCTGTCTCTCCCTCTCTCTGTGCTCCTCCCCCGCTCATGCTCTGTCTCTCTCACTCTCAAAAATGAATAAATATTACAACAACAACAACAAAACAAAGTGCATTCTTCAATCACATTGGAGAATTGCTTAGAAGGAAATTTACAGCTCTAAATGCTTATATTAGATGTTCTAAGCTCAAATCAATGACCTAAGCTTCCACGTTAAGAAATTAGAAAAGTGAGAGCAAAACAAAAAGATAAAAACAAGAAGTCAATGAACTAGAACACAAAAGCAATAGAGACAAATCAATGAGGCCAAAATCTTTTTTTTTTGAGAATATCAATAAAATTAATAAATCTTAAACCAAACTGATATATAAAAGGACAAATTACCAATATCAGGAGGAGAGAGCGAGTGCCATTACTACAGATCCTACAGATTTTAAAGGATAATATTAACAAGTTTATGACAATAAATTTGAAACCTAGATGAAAGAGATAAATTCCTCAAGAGACACAAATTACCAAAGTGCATTCGTGAAGAAATAGATAATCCCATAGCAAAGAAACAGAATGTGTAGTTAAAAACCAAAGAAAATTCCAAGCACAGATGGCTTTTATTGGTAAATTCTACCAAACATTTAAGGAAGAAATACTAATTCTGTACAAACTGTTCAAGAAAACTAAAGAAGAAGAAACACTCCTCAATTCATTCTATGAGGCCAACATTACCCTGACACCAAAGTCAAAGACATCACAAGAAAACTACATGCTAATTAATATCCATCATGAATATAGACAGGAGCAACAAATTACCAGAAAATTGAATCCAGCAGCATATAAAAAGGGTAATATGTCATGACCAAGTAGAATTTATCCTGGGAATGCAACGCTGATTCAACATTCAAAAATCAATGTAACTTACCATATCAACAGATGAAGGAACAAAAATATGATAATCTCAACTGAATGCAGGAAAAGCCCATGACAAAATTTGATACCCATTATAAAAACTCTTAGCAAACTATGATTAGAAGAGAATTTTCTTAACTTGATAAAGGGTGTCTACAGGAATACATTCAGCTCTATTTAATGTGAAAGAATACATTCTCACCAAAATGGATGGATGATAAACACATGGAAAGATGATTAATATCATTAGTCATCATGAAAGGCAAAATTAAACCACAACGAGATATCACTGTTAGAATGGCCAACACTGCCACCACCACCTGATACCAGGAAGCACCGGTGAGGATGTGCAACTAGAATTCTCACACATTGCAGCTGGGAATACAAAAGGGTACAGCCATTATCAAAAGGAATTGGGCAGTCTTACAAAATTAAATATATAATCCTACTTGTAGGTATTTACACGAGAGAAAACATAATGTTCATACAAAAACCTATATGGAACTCTTTCTAGCATTTATACTTGTATTTGCTAAAAACCTGAGATATCCTAAATCTGTTTCAAATGGTGAATAAACTATGAATAAAAGGAGCATGGGGCATCACAGATGAATGAATATAAAATGCATTATGCTAGGTGAAAGAAACTAGACCGAGGGGGCTGTATTCTCTGTAATTCCATCTATACAACATTCTAGGAAAGACAAAACCAAGGCAACAAAAAGAGGTCAAGAGGTGCCAAGGGCTGAGGTGAGCAGAAGGATGACAACACAGGGGCACAGGAGAATTCTGGGTGTGATGGACCGGCCCTGTACCCTGACTGTGGTGGTTACATAACGACGTTCATCAGCACCTGCAGAGCTATGCTCCTACCAGGGTGAAGTTTATTGAATATAGGTAACTTCTTACTCTCCAGATAATAACAAACATTTAAGCACCTGATACGAATGATGGCTAGACAGAGATCTGAACCTGAAAAGATAATCCCAGCTCTCAAGGAGTTAGGAGATGAATAGCAGTAATAACCATTATCCTTAAGCATAGCTCACCCTTAAATAGGGTTTACCATATGGCAGACGTTGTTCCAAGTACTTCACACATGTGTGACCCGGGATCCTTACAATAACCCTATGAGTACAGGTAGGATTTAAAAAAAATTTTTTTTAAATGTTTATTTTTGAGAGAGACAGAGACAGAATGCGAGTGGGTTAGGGGCAGAGAGAGAGGGAGACACAGGATCCAAAGCAGGCTCCAGGCTCTGAGCTGTCAGCACAGAGCCTGATGCAGGGCTTGAATTCACAAGCTGTGAGATCATGACCTGAGCTGAAGTCGGACGCTCAACTGACTGAGCCACCCAGGTGCCCTGGACAGGTAGGATTTCTAGTGCCACTCGATAGTTGAGGAAATTTAGCCGAAGAGGGTTGCATAACTGGCCAAGGTCACACAGCAGAAAAGTAGGAAGCCCAGGTTCAAAGCCAGGTAGCCTGGCTCTTAGCACTTTGTAATCCTTGCCTCCATTTGTTAATAAGTCATCCTAAGTTATATGGCTATTTGAAGCAAAGTGAAATTTAATACTCATTAATTCCATCTTCCTTTTGTAAGCTCCCCTTGCTACTCACAATGGGGGTGCATAAAAAAAAATCTTTCAAAAATAGAGTAGTGATTCTTTTCTACTGAGGTTTCCTGTTTGTTCTTTAGTCTGAGAAAGAATCTAAATTACCCAGTTGTGGCTCCTGCTTGGGTTTCCCCAAAGGATCTGAAATGACCTGATAGGGAGGCAACACTGCACCCCATGGGGAGGGAGAAAAGAGAACAGACATCTGAGATTGGGAGGCAGGGACAGCTCCTCTCCTTCCTTCAAGATGGCAAGCAGCAAGCTCCTTGTTTACACAACCACTTTATCTTTTTTTTTTTTTTTAAGTTTGAGAGACAGTGTGCACATGTATGCACACACACATGTGGAGGAGGGGCAGAGAGGGAGAGTGTTAGAGAATCCAAGCAGGCTCCCCAAGGCCAGTGCAGAGCCTGACACAGGGCTCAAACACAGGAAACCGTGAAATCATGACCTGAGCTGAAATCAAGAGTTGGACATATTTAACCGACTGAGCCACCCTGGTGCCCCTACATGACCTCTTTACAATTAGAAAACAAAAACAAAAACAAAAGGCTAGAGAGACTTCTGGCAAAACCAAAGGGTAAAAGAGCAAGGGCAAATGAAGGGAGGACCAGGGGTGACAAGGACTTCTGAGGTGCCGGTAACATTGTATTTTTTAATCTAGATGGTGGTCTGCAGATGTATTCACTTGAGGACCATTCCCAGAGTTGTATGCTTATTCACTTTTCTGCACCTATGTTATACTTCAATATAACAACATATTTAAAAGTAACGTGGAAGGGGGAATTATGCAGGAAAAAAAACCCTAGTTGGTTCCTTTCTTCATTATAACATATGAGTAGATAGTTTTAATATCCAGAGATGTTTCAAAACCAATCTTTGGTTTCACACAGCGGTCTAGAATTAGAACACTTGATTATAACCAAGACAGAAGGTCTTCTAAGTTAAAAAGATCTCTAGAAAGGAACTCTGGGTGCTTTAAAAGAATATACTAATTTCTCCCCCAAATACAACGATAATACAGTGCAAAATACACAGAACGAATACGACAACCAAAGCTCGGGCACAACCTTTATCGGGCAAATGGAACAGAGGCGTCAAGATGGGGACTACCTATTCTCTGGACCGCACAAAGCCAGGGCACACCCTTAGGGAAAGAAGAAAGGATCAATGTGTCAGATCCAGAACTTGAATTGATTCTACTTTCTATCTCAAAAAAGAAGAAAGCAGTCCGCATGGCAACCACGATTGTACCTTTTATTTTCCATGAAAGGTATTCAGCTAGTCAGTGGTTCCCATTCCTGGATGCACATTAAAATCACCTGGGGGAGATTTTAAAACATTCTGAAATACTGGGCTTGATTGAAGATTATTTTTTTTAAAGTTCCTTACCTGATTCTGATGTGAACCCAGGGTTGAATACTGACTAATTTAGGTAGTACTGAATCGTGTTCCACTTGGTTCTTTCCCTGTTCCCAATATTTTGTGTTCTGATACCTTAGCTAATTATGACTATTCTAATTTATAGGATTGTTTCCTTTTCTGGTACTAATTATTAATACCTCTTCATAAAAAGCAAGCAAGCCTGAAGAGCTTGATTACAATTCTCAGGAAAATCAATATTTGCATGTAGGACAAGGAAGGAAAAGAAACTGAGAAGGACAAGTCCCGGTGGCCAGACCAGCAGGTGATGTCACAGGGAATGAACATGAAACTCCTTCCAGGATAATTTAGATTGTAAAAACTAGCTTCTTAGAACCCTGACTAATCAATACCGGAAGTGACTGAATACGGACAATCAAGGCTACTTCTCCTTTAATACTAGCCCCTGTTTTGCTTGGCAAACAGGCTTCAGAGAAAGATAAAGAGGCTTTTCAAAAGGGTAGGCATGCATTTCAATACTCACGTCTTCTCCAAACACTGGAGTCTCACACAGACATGATGTGTCAGTTACCCCGTATCCTAGCAACATCTCACAAAGAGAAGAGTATGTGATGCCAAGCAAGGCTTAACCTAGTGTTCAAATGTAAGTCATGAGGTGGCCTCGCTTTGGGGAATCCTGTTCAAGTAAACGTTACCCGAGGAAAGTGTGTGCTAGCACCGGGCATCTTCCCCCCTAAAGAAAGGAGGTGGGGGGAGGTGGTTCTCACTCCGGAGTTTCACCCACTTGTTTTTCACTCCTGAAGCTTCGGTGTAGCCGTGGCTCCATACAGCTGGGGCTCCAGATCCATCTCCTGCTGAAGGCTGATCAATCTTGAAACAGCGGATGTTACTAACGAGAAAAGGAAGAGACGGGAATCGTTAGAACCAAATAATGTGTGAATTGCTCCCTTTGTCTGCTAAGCGCCAGGTACTTACCACTCCTGTGTTTAATGTGTCTGAAATCTCTTATCAGCCAGAAGAACTAGCTACTCAACAAAGTGAAAGCAAAGGAGAGTTATATAGACAGAGCCTGAAAACTCATTTTCGTCAGCGTCCTAGGGTGGTTATCAGAGACCTTCACACATCGCCCTAGATGGCGGCTGTCTCCCAGGAGCGAGAGGGACCCCTCTCAACCTCGGCATGAGAAAAGAAAACATTACGTTGGGTGTATTCTTACAACATGAACACCAGATTTGAAAAGTATGAAATCTAAGCCACAGTTATACTGTATTTGAATGCTGTGAGCAAATTCTGCAACATTCATCCTCAAATCCAGTGTCTGCCCATTTCGCCCCTTCAGAGGTTTCACAAATACCGAGGACTTGCCATCCCCGAAGCTTCCGGTTCTTTCCTCATCGCCCGGCCATTCATGCTAAGACTAATAACCATAAAATTATGAAAGGGGTATTTCAACAAATCACACATGAACTGTGTGGATTTAAACTGGGAGAGAAGTCATCTCCCTTGCCACAACTGGCCCAACAGGACCCAAGACTGAAATACTAAAAGCGTAAACTCTTGAATGGGGTTTTTAAAGTCCACTCTACTAGAAAGCATTCTGTGCCCCCAAACAGGAAATTCTGCAGATGTGAAATAGGTTTTGAAAAAGGCTGGCTACCACATGGTGAACTTAATCCCACTTATAAGTTGCTACTAGTTTTCTCCCTCTATTACTTAAGAGAAAAATCACGTGTGCCGTCTCTTAACACAAACACTTTTGTCATGACCCCAGGAATTTATCTGTTGGCATTCATTAACTCCAAAATACAACCCTTCAACTTTAAGAAGGAAATCTATATCTAATTGCATTCACTTTGATTTTAGAAATAGCTGGTGGCGGTTTCTTTGAAATTTAAAAATATTTCGTAAAAGAAAAGTTTCTACTCTCAATTGGCAGCAAACATTCGCTCTTCCCTTTATCCTCAAAAGCCAAAAAAGCACCAACAGAAAATCCTGAAACGAGATTAATACCTTATTTTACAGCAGGGCTATTTATCCTCTTTTCAGAAGTTGTCATTCCTACCAAGAGAAGAGGGGCATTGAATGAGTCTGCCGTTATCTGCTGTTCATGCGACCCTGCTAGCAGATTTCATCCATGCAAAACGGTAAGCACATGCAAAGGGTTTCTTAATAAGGCATAACTAAGGGTTTCACTGCATCTCTGCTGCCTTTCTGAACTCCAGAGAAAAACTGAAGGCTCATTTCTAAAGACAGTTATGCTTTTTATTATAGAACACAGAGCCTTCAAAGAAATAATGCCACTTCCCGGCCTGAGTATGCTCTTTTTTTCCCCTAGCCTGAGTATGAACGGGAAAAAAAACAATCCTTGAACTACCCCCCGCCCCCCAAACGCTTCCCAGTGAAGCAGGGGTTTCTCGTTGTCTGCCTAGATGATAGTGTGGCTGAGCAGCTGTCCGAAACGACCTGAACGCTGACTCTTGCACATCTTCCGAGGAGTCTGAGAGAACATGCGAGCCGGAGCTCAGTCAAGCGTCAGCCTATGCCCTTACCCTGTCTCACACAGAATAAACAGGCCATCCCTCCAACAGCACAAGAAATACAGTAGATACGGAAGCTCTTCCAAGTTACTAAGAAGCCACAGCCTCCCAGCTGTGAAACAGAAGGCATCATTTTTACATAAAAGTGTTATGTGGGCCCCTGGGTGGCTCAGGCGATTAAGTGTCCCACTCTTGATTTCGGCTCACGTCATGATCTCACAGTTCCTGGGTTGGAGCCTGTGTTAGGCTCTGCGCTGACAGCAGGGAGCCTGCTTGGGGTTTTCTCTCTCTCTGCCCCTCCCCCCCCCCCACAAAAACTCTCTCTCAAAATAATTCTTTAAAAGAAAAACTGTGATTTCATTGTCTGTTACTTTTTAAAATTTTTAAATTTTTTTAAATTTATTTTTTGTAGCTTGAGAGTGAGCGAGCACGAGTGAGGAAGGGGCAGAGGGAGAGAGAGAGAATCCCAAGCAGACTCTGAGCTCTCGGCGCAAGGCCTGATGCGGGGCTTGATCCCACGAACTGCGAGGTCATGACTTAAGAAGCCGAAATTAAGAGTCTGACAACCGAGTCACCCAGGAGCCCATGTCTTTTTTTTTTTTTTTTTAAATCTTAGAACACACATCTGATGCTTTGTAGTAGCTCAGGCCAGTCTAGTAACATGTCCATTGCAGAGACTTTAACAAGTAGATTTTTCTTACGGATAATAGTGGGGTAATCATAAATATGTGGTTTTGCATCTTTTTTCTAATTACGTCATGAACATTTTCCCATGTCACGTTTTATTCATCTTAAATATAGATTGATGATCGCCTCTGTGCCTAAAATGAATACCACATTTCTGATTATTTTTTAGAATGAATTTTGCCATAGAAAACCTTGATCTAAGTATATGAAGATTTTTAAAGGCTTGATACACAGAGTCCATAGCTTTTAAGAAAAGTTATGTTCAATTTACAGTCCTCCAGCAGCACCAATTTGAGGGGGGGAGTATTAATATTTCCTTGATATACTAGTAAGTTTGAACATGACATTTTCATACAACTATCTGTACTTCTTTCGTGAAATGTTAACCTCCTTCACTTATTTGCTGTTCGAGTACTTTTCTTATAAGAACATTTTTTAACAAGAATATTAATGCTTGTATTTTTCCTGTTTTGTTTTTTTTTTTTTTTTTTTGCCACTGTTTCTTCTTAGTTTGTCATTTGCCTTTTAGATTTACTCTTGGTGTTTTTTCTGGAAAGAGATTTCAAACTTTTGTGTATACAAAGTATTTTTAAATACTTAGAAATATCAAAACCAATTATATATTGATTTCTACTTTTGCGATCCCACCCTCCCACCCCCACCTCCCACTTTTGGACAGAAAAAGATGTTTTCTGGCTTGTGAATATATTCCTGTGATTTTTTTCTTACCTTTAGAAATTATTTCATTTTATAGAGTTCTTTAATTTAGCTTTAATTTATTTTGGTGTGTAATACAAATTCAACTTAATTTTGATATAATTGTTTTATACAAAATTTCATATATTTATAAAAATACTCAAAAGCCAGCTGCATTAAGATGAAAATATATTTTGATAATCCAGGTACTCTTAGCTCTAGAAGTCTCTTAGGACTTCCTCCTCATCATATGGAGGAGAAAGCTGAGGTCTGGACAGACTCAAGGATTTGGGCCAAGGCTCCACTAACTGAGAAAAAGTACAGAGCGCCTAGACCCCCTGCAGCTCTCCTAGGACACTCTGCTTAGGCAGTACTCCTCAATTATAGATTGAAATCGATTAAGTACCTGAAACAAACAGGCACTAACTAGGCCAATTCCATCCAGGAATCGCCTCGAGCGATATTCAGATTTTAGCTGGCAGTAAACACCTAGGATAATATGAATGACTGCTCTTTTAAAATTCTCCTCCTTTTCAGTTTTGTTCTAAGACAACGGAAGAGGACTTTTAGCAGGAGACAGCACAACAGGGCTTAAGCATAGAAGGCAAACACAATGACTAACGTGTGTCAGTGTCCAAGACTTAAGCTGGCTGCAAGAAAATTCAGAAAAGTTTAAAGGTAATGATGACCATCCATAATCCTATCATCCAGAGAATAACACTATTTTAACATTTTTATATCCTTGCAGGCATTTTCTAGGTGTACACATGCACACAAATTTATTTTGGAAAAAGTGGGAACATACCATACAAATAGTTTGTAAATATTCTTCTCATTGAACTTCATACGTAGGGATCTTTAACTCTACATCATTTTAAGTGTATTATTTTGAGAGAAGAGAGGGTGCACGTGCATGCATGGATGGGGGAGGGGCAGAGAGGGGAGACACAGAATCTGAAGGGAGCTCCAGGCTCTGCGGTGTCAGCAGAGTCTGACGTGGGGCTCGAACCCATGAAGCGTGAGATCATGACCTGAGCCAAAATCAAGAGTCAGACGCTCAACTGACTGAGCCATCCAGGGACCCCTACAGCATTGTTTTTAATGGCTATATAGTATTCAATTATGAAGCACAATTCTCTTGACAGACATTTAGAGTTGTGTGAGAAGAAATTTTTAAAGACGGTTTTTTTCTAATGAGGTTTCCTCCTTTAATGTTTTACCCAGTGAACTTCAACCTGCAATTCTTTATCGACGTCAAGAGTGACACCGTATCGATGAATTCTTTCCCCAAACACGGTAACTTAGCAGGATCTAACTATCCCACACTCCCAGTTTTGTTTAAACCATCTGGATTTTACCAGATGGTTAGTTTTTCCCACATCATGCATCTCTTTCAATCCTTTCCTACCATTTGCATTAAGCATCACACCATATCCTCAGTAACTGAGATGTAAGTTTATGTCTTAGTTATTCATGGCTCTCCTCCGCGTTTTCCTTTATATCCACCCCCCCCCCCCACTTTGTATTCATTATTCTCATTCTCTTTTTGCCTGGATACTTCCTCAAAGACTTTCTGAAAGGACACGTGAGTATCCAACTATTTGAAATTGTTTTTGGCCCTCCATTCTGGTGAACTATGGACTCACAAATCGCTCCAAATGTGTGTAGATACAGCTAAGAAGCCACCGGGCACTTCATACTGTTTAATGTTTTCACTAAGTTACAAATCGCGTTGTCAGTGAACGTGGACAGGGCTGCAGGGCATCACGAAATACTTACTTCAGCAATTCCAGGGTTTTGTGATCGAGGGCAAGTCGGGGGTTTCCAGTCAGGTCTAGTTCTTGTAGTTTTGGAGGCAGGTTTTCTGGTAAAGTGACTTCGCTTAGCTCATTACAGCTCAGGTCCACGCACTGAAACAAGAAGGGGAAACAGGAAGTGATGGCCAGGACAAGTGGTGCAGGTGGCTCTATGCTCCTACCCGTGGCTTGAGAATCAGTCTGCCATTCACTAGACTATGCTGGCCAAGTGCAGAAAAATAAGATTGTCTGCTACCCTCCCATAAACATTGAAAACAGATTCTGCTATCTGCAGTTAAAATGTTCACTTTCTTTGGTTAACACAGAAAACCCGTGTTCTTTATTCTCCCCCTCGTTATCTTTTTAAGCTTATCTCTACATGTAAAAGGACAAGCATTAGCTGAAAATCCCAAGGACAGTTTTTCCGATTGCTCACAAAATCTCCACACCTGTTATGGCCACAAGGGGTACAGTCAACATCGAAATGGAATTTTGAAGGGGCTTCCTTAAATCAAAATACCTGCAAGATGAGGAAGGCAGGGACACCTTCAAAATGAGAAGATAACTCAAAAGAAGCTCAATAAGAAACTGGTAAAAGACTAGCTGTTGGGCCTGCCTGCCGCCTGCAAGGAAAAAGGCAGGAGTCAAATAAGGATCCCACCCTCCAGGCATGCAGTACCTACATCTTCCACCAGCTCCTGCCTAAAATCACTCGAAAATGACGACAGTAAGGGTCAGCATGTTGACGAGGACAAAACTTGTGTTATCTGCGAATGGGGATAGTACCTCCTTTCTCACAAAACTGAGGTAAGCCCTAAAAGAGGTGCTGCGTTTGTGTTCTGAGAGCAGGGAACCCGAGGAGAAGGTGGCTCACCATCTACAAGAGGGAGGAGGAGGAATTGGCAATTTTTCCGGATAAAAGAACATGTAATCCACTATTTGGCAGAAAGGGGTAGGAAGAATTCAATTATCCGGCTTGAGGCTGCACCTTCTTATGATTTCAGAAAATGCCTCAAGAGCCTGTTAAAAATCTTAAGATGGTTTGAAAGGCAAAGTGTATCCAAGAATTTCAGAATCTTTAAAGCAGACAAAATCGTCGTTTTTGGAAAAAATTTTAACTTAAATCTGTTATGGATTGGGGAGGGACAGAGACCGAATGAACACCTATATTTTTGGAGAAAAATATTCTCAACTGACTTCAAATAACGCAATGTTTCCACACAAATTGTTTTATATCCTTGCTCTCAAGCAGTAGCAATGATATAAAATTATATTGTAATTTTAATTACTTTGTATTATGAGAGTGTTGTAACCACTTCATAAAAAGTTGGACAAGTGGAAAAGCTTAGAAAACTTGCCTTTATATGTAGCACCCTAAAATAACCAGTGTTAGTATCCAATTTTTCTTATTAATATAAACAAAAATTTTTAAAAAACATAAATGTAGATACAGTTTCATCACTTATTCCATATCTGGACTCCTAGCACCTTTAATGGCAGAAGACATATATTCATTGAGCCTAAACATCAATAGGGAGGTGGTCATCTTTTTGTTTTGTTTTTCCATTTATAAATAACGGTTGCATCAATAGTCAACTGGACTGTAATGAAAAACCGCTAATACTGAGAATACTAAAGACGGGCTGTTCCATCAGGATAGTCTGTGTACATCAGCACAGAGAAGGCAAATGCTGCCAGTGCGATGTGCTGGGCAGTGATGAAACACAAGCTTGAGGACTGGCCGGTGTGCGTAACTTAGAACGGGTGGTTGACAAAACAAAAACAAGGTCAGAGCATGAACTATGGGGAAAGACTGTAGACATCTCAGAACATTATGGAATTTTATGAAATTGATAGGCATCGTTTTCTAATTTCACCTAATGATTTAAACACTCATAGCTCTGCTGGTGTAAAATTGCTCATTCTTTAAATTACCAAATCATAAAATGAGTTCAGTAGGGTGTTTATTTATGAAGACAATGCTGGCGTTGTCTTTATAAATAATCCTCTTAGAAGTGGTGCTTACCACCATCACGTCCCTCTGTCTCTCCCCCTTCCCCCTCCCCACAAGGCCCTTAATTCACTGCAACCAGTTCCTGTGCCCTGTCCCACAGTGTTGTCGCCTCTACAGGGAGGTCTGGGACCGCGGGGGTCCTGACTTTGCTCTTGTCTCATCTCCCTCCGGCCCACTCCCCACAGGGCTGTCAGGGGGACTGTGATGTGCTTAATCCCATCTGATCACACTCGGGCTTGTCTTTCAGTCGCTCCCTACTGCCTTCCAATCTGCCACCAGACTCCTCAGCATGTCAAATAAGGCCCTTCATCTCCACCTTTCAGCACCTGCTTCCCTGCACTCTATATTCAGCGGTGTCACAGTTAATTCCAGTTCCCGCGTGTGTCATATTCTCACTTGGGCTCTGCACATACTGCTGTGACCGGGGCTCTTCAGGCTTTCCTCGCCCCTTACCTGGCACAATCTGCCCCATTCTTGTCAGTCTCAACTCAACGCCAATTCCACTAGGACCCCTCGTTCAAAGTTTCCACTTATTTATTCCTCCCATTAGACTACGAGCTCCTAGAGAACAGGGCCGGTGGCTTCTCCCCCATGTCCTTAGTGCAGCACAAAGAACAGATGCCCACAAATGCCTGGGAATTAGTAGACAATTATTTGTTGAACAAAGAAATGAACGAATCTTCCGAGAAGATCCTCCAGTAATTCAATCCGCTAGGATGGAAACGGAGATATGCGTGCTGAGATTAAGTTCAGTCGAGTAAATAGCATAATGGCAGATAAGGAGAGAAATACCCTTTCATAGTTCTATACATTGGAGGAGGTTTGATCATGAAAATACAGGGTGTTGGTTCCCAGCGCTGACCTACTGGCATTAACATAAACAGTCAGTGCTCTACTTACAAGCTCTATTCCTTATTCTTTTAATAGTCTTCAACAAACACTTGTTGACTGAATGGTTGTAATGGCTACCACTAGGAAAACAGAAAATTTGGGGGTGAGACTGGAGAAAAAAAATAGTACTTGCGTATTCCATGACGTTTAATGTATGTTTCTCTATTGTTTAATGCATTAAAATTTTCTTGAAAATACATTATTAAATAGAATGTTAAATCGGTCTACAAAGTTACCTTTCCCTCTTTCAGGCCTATTTTAGGACATAGCTTACAAAAACTACTTGGCTATAATACAAAATTCTGGTAAGAATACTCAAAACAGAATTATCCAACCCTTGGAAAAAGTGAGATAACTCATAGTTGGAGGAACTCAAGATTTAGAGGGAAAGGACCGCTAATACGTCTAGCTAAGAGCACAGGAAAATAATCAGTGCATCTTAAAGAGAACTGATCTGACATTTAAGTATAATTATCACCAAAGCTCTGATATCTTTATTATGTTTTCCTCACAAAACCTTACCAATGACACGGACGTATCACTTTTCACAGCAGTGTATTACCTACTATCCCCCCAGTAATCGCCTGGACTGCCCGGAAACAGCAGAGTCACCTGCTAACTCTGAGCGATTCTGCAACCGCTTGCTTCAGTCTTCCGACCACAGCCAGGCCACCAGCGCAGCCACGCGGCCCTCCAGTGCGCAAAGGGGCACTCCCAATCACCTTTGCACCCCGTGCCCTCACGGCGGGAAAAGCTGCTGATGTAATTATTTCTGTAATTGTTCAGAAGTGTGTATTGTTTAAACCGCCCCACCTTTTAGGGAGTTGCAGAAGACCTTTCATCTTTTATAAAGCCTTCCCTCTCTGTATTTACATACACTGTGATTTTCCTCCGAACAGGTTCACTGATTTTCATGACAAATTCCTAAGAAGCAAATAAATGCAAGTGTTCATCCAAAAGAGCCTTGATTAGGCACCTACCTGGTGGCAGACGATAAGCCACACGTCAGGGATCTACAGGGCCGGCGTCACAGTCCCCACCCTGCGGAATTCCCAGGCCAGAGTGGGAAGTGATTCTCCCTCCGGCTGCGAATCAGTAATAGGTACAAGTGTGCACGGATGTGACAGGTTAAGGCTTCTGAGAGAGCCTTCCCCAGGAGGGGATTTTTGTGAAGAATCGAAGATAACGAGGCAGAGAAAACAGGAGGGCATCCAGGGAGAGAGAATAGCACACGGCTTACCAGGACACGACCCACGAGTGACTGGTGTGGCCGGGGATGGCGGAGAGGCAGGCAGGGACCAGATGGTAAGCTACAGACTGTGTCTCAGGTAGAAGTGGTCTGTACTATCTCCCTCTCTTTCAGTTAGGAGACAGCCTTTTAGCTTAATAGTAAAATAAATATACACCTGTATTGTTTCTCACTATGTAACTTGTAGCCAGATTCTCTTGCAACACTTAAACTATATTTATTCCTGATGTTGTATAGACTAAGTGGTCATTACTGTAGGGCGTTCATATATCTAAGTGAACTTGTTAACTAAATGAGCCAGTCAGAACCTGTCAAAGATACTCAGACTCCAAACCCAAAGCTGGAGTTCTGTTTTTCTATATAGGGGCGCCTGGGTGGCTCAGTCGGTTGAGTGTCTGACTTCGGCTCAGGTCATGATCTCGTGGTTTGTGAGTTCGAGCCCCGCATCAGGCTTGTCTGCTGACAGCTCAGAGTCTGGAACCTGCTTCGGATTCTGTGTCTCCCCCTCTCTCTGCCCCTTCCCTGCTCACGCTCTGTGTCTCTCTCTCTCAATAATAAACAAATGTGAAAAAAAAAAAAGTAAAATTATTTTTCTATATAAGATTGTATCTGTCTGTAATTATTCAGAAATGTATATTGTTTAAACGTCCGCACCTTTCAAGGAGTTGCAAGAGAAGACCTTTAATCTTGTATAAGTCTTCCTTCTCTATATTTACATATACTGTGATTTTTCTCAATTGGATTTTAGATTTAGAACACCTTTATTGGCAATAGTTTGATAAAAATGACAATCAGGGTAAAAATTTCTTTTAAAAAAATCCTCATTCCACCAAATAGTATTCCATTTCCCCAAACATGAATTCCCTTAAACACTGAAACTAAATTATTTGCAAAATTTGGCTTTAAGAAAGCGCATCCTTTAGGGGCGCCTGGGTGGCTCAGTCGGTTGAGCGTCTGACT